ATAATTGATTTCATGCTTTTCTTGCCGTTTTCGCCGCTCATCTTCATGTGCCCGTACGCCTGCCAAGACATTTTTCAGCGGATCTTTCGCGAATGTTGGCATAGCCTGAAAGATCTGTGTAGAAAAACACTAGTCAATTCGAATCGAGCTCTTACCATGCCTAGAAACATGTACTCTTCGTCGCGAAATTTCTTCGCTTCACGTCGTACAACATGTCTGCGATAATACTTTTGAATGATGGTTGCTGCTAAACTCTTATCCATTTTCGATTCGCCCATATTTGCACGTTGTCGAGCACGTTGATCATTCAGTCGTAATTCACGCATTTGTTTCGCACGTAAGCGACCTTGTCGAGCTCGTTCATGTGTTTGAATTATGCGAATGGCATCATCTATGGACATCATACCGGTACCATCGGGTTTGTCATTCTCGGAGGTCATTCGAGCTAAAATTTGCCCGAGAAGTCGTTCGCGTTTCTCGATTGCTTGAGCACGTTCAAGTACAAAATAGTTTGGAATAGGAATCTCCAGATCGTTCTAGGAAAATATTTGATCAAATCTACATGATATTTTCGTTCAAGATATCAACAAACCGGTGTTAGTTTGAGATCAGCTAGGATATCATCGAAATAATGGTATTCAGAGTAATCCATAGTGATCATTTCATGTTTCAATTCCACGATTCTTCCCATCACACCGTCGAGAACTGTTCGCACCAAGCGTCGTTTTTGTGGATGAACTATTTGGTCATAACATTGTTCTAGTTTGCGAAATATTTGTACATATTTGACAAACATCGTAGCGACTAATTGAAAAGCCGCATTGATATCCTATTCAAATGAAAATCACCGAGTTCTCTCGTTATTGTATTAACTATCATCACATACTGTTTCTGGGGCTCGTGGTTGTGCTGGAGTTTCGATGGCCAGCATATCGGCCACAGCAAGCTGTGCATCTTGCCATTGTTTATTATACGAACTAAAAGTAAATATTGTTTGTTTGTGGAAAAGCAGACCCGGAAAAGGCAGACACTTACATATGCGACATAGTTATATGTCGTTAATTTCGACACTGAATGAATTCAATGTATACGATCTAGTCTCATTTGAGAAATCGTTTCTATAGAAACGCACCTGCATTGTGATGTCAAAGTGCATAAGTGTGCTGAAAATTTTCTTTGGATGCACTCAAGAAAAAGTGAAGCAATGATGAAAGACGACGGTATACGCACGAAGAATTATATAAATTTCCTTGCTTTTTTTGTCAAAATACATTTACGTTTTGTTTATTTCGATTGTAACTGAGACAAATGAGAACGTTACGGCGAAATTTTTTTACATGAGTATAGCGTCGATATTGTTCGCGAATACCATCGTTGAAGAATAAATAGTATTTGGTTTCGTTGTTGACGATCCAAATGTGTTTACTGTTGAGCATCGGCGATGCATGATAGTAAACATAGGACAACAGATACGCAAATTTATGATACCCGAAAAGACGGTAGCGGTTATTCCGTAAGTTTGCTAAATGAAAACAACGAAAAATTCTGTACAAAGAAGTTGTGTTTCTTTTTTAGTCGAATAAACGAGAGTGGCATTTGCAATCACATGGATTCGATGATGAAACGTCGAATAATCGGAAATATATGCGAACGCAATGTAAGAGAATTGTTTTGAACGTTTGATATCGAAGAAATTTGTGTTGATTGTTGAATTTTAGCTTCGTCAAATAATCGAGTTGTATCTAATTCGTCGTCATCTCAACAGCACCGACAAAATGATGATAAGAAAGCTGTTAGAGATGTATGTAAATTTCGAATGAATGGTATTTATCGAGAAATGACTTTTCTTTAGACGAAAAAACCGCTTCGTGTGTTCGGTGATTGGTCTGAATTCAAAAGTTCAACAGGTTAGTTGCTTCGAAATAAGAAACCATGAATTCGATGATTATTTTCTAGGCAAAACATATTTTTATAATTGTAAAACTGAAATATCTCAATGGGAAAGTCCCAAATGTTGGCCATCGGATGAATCGAACCGAACAAGTACATCTTCCACTAGTCGAAACAAGAAAGGTGACTTTTCTTTATCAATCAATCATATCAATTGTCTCTTTTTTCCAAACAAATGTTTAGAACCAACAGCACATGTTTCAGCCACAATTCGTACTCGACATAAGGTGGAAGATTCCACTTCTCAAAGAACACTTTCCCATACCTCCAAACCAAAACTAACTCCAGAAAATTCGACAAACCATCATCATCATCATCATCAAAATGGAAACCATGTAGCTCATGACACCAATGAGCAATCATCCCTGCCTTCACAAAATCGTCTTGCAAGTCCTGGTAATTACACAGGCAAACATCTTCAAATCATCTTACGCTTGCTCTTTAGACGATGACAGTTCACGAATGTCCTTCTCATCAGCAAGCAGTAAACAATCCTCTCCGATTCGAACTAATACGAATGAAACTAATGGCAATGTTCTACATTCATCCTTATCCGAACCTGGTAACTTCGAACAAAGCTAATAGCATCTTTTCACACATTCTTTTTCAGCTATTTCAGTAACAATGCCACTATCAGATGTTTCATCGATCAAGCCGATCTCTATAAATGGTAAGATGATTGCTTTCTAGACACGAATCATCAATATTTTGACTCCTGAAGGAAATGACACAAAACATGCAGTTGCTCGACCCACTTCATCTACTCAGTCAAATACGGACTCGATACAAAAGTAAGTTGTAGAAGAATGATGATGCTCGAGCGAACAATTTGACGAAAATTTCGATTTAGAAATGAAACTGAATCTAATACATCGCTAGTTTCGAAAGCAGAACGTGAACAAGAGATTCAAAAATACTATCGTGCTGAACTAATTCAACATTTAACGGATTGGCCAGTGACTCAACTAGAGAAACAGGTAGAAATCAGTTCAAATCTTCTAAACGACAACTTCGATTGATGTTTTCATTTAGTGTTTGAAGCTATTTGATGATTACTATGCATATAGTGCTAAAACATCAACATCATTTACGGAATTAAAAGCATGTAAATCAAACTATCGTGTACTTGAGATAAAACGAAATATCTTAACTCAAAAGTAAATGCAATTCTTGAAAATTCGCCTCATCGAATTTGTTTCTTCTCTGATATTTCAGGCTTCTCTGTTGTCAAAAACAAGCACAAGAACGAGAAGAAAGTTAGCATCTGTAAACTTATCCTTTTTTCGCGGCTTTTTATATGTTTTCTCACACCAATACGTTTCTATTCTCTTCTCTTCTCTTCTCTCATGATCACTTCGCAGCAATGTGCATTTGTATGCGAGAATATTTGTTCGAAGAAGAGAATTATCCCCATCAGTTCCTTGTTTTCGTTTTTCGTGTCAGATACATTCAATTGGAAACATTTGCTGGCTTGTCGTTATTGAGCTGCTTGGTGATGATCGGATTCTCTTTTTTTGATTATTTTCTGCCTTTGTTTTCTTCTTTCCACATTCAACTGCTCCTTTCCTCTTCTTTCGCCGCTCTTCATCTGTTTGTTTTCGTACTGTATTATTGTGTATCTTGGTTTTGTTGTTTTTTCTTTTGTTCTTTTGAAAAAGTTATACACTATATATATATATATATAATTTCAAATATGATACTCGTGCAGAAAATTATTAATGGGATAATGTACAAAAGGAATGTTCATCTTCATTTTCAGACAATTGCTCGTGTTTCCTTTCAAAATGTTTGGAAAAGTTATCGGTTTGGTCTCTTATTGTAAGGAGAATAATCTCGGTATTTGACCGTTTCATGTAAATCCCGTTGTTGTGCTTTTCAAATAATGCACCTATGAGATATGTACATATTTGATCCCATGCGATCAAATCCTTCTTAAGAAATATTTTCGAACGATTACAATCGAGAGTAGGAATGACATTGGTATAGTTTCATGTTTGATTTAGTACTGTATGAATAACGTCATTGACTAGTAATAGAAAGCTGAGGCAAAATATTCACAGCTGTGATGAATTGATTCAAGTACAAGCAAGTGAGATATATTATTAATTTAGAGAACAAAACCTTGGAAAATTCATAATTTTCTAAATAGAAAAAAGTTCTTCATATATGAATTGCATTTTAAGGAAACTACTCGGTGTCTTCTATTCTTTAGTAATTATAAAATGATAGCTACGCTTTATTTATTGACCACATTTCAGTATATTAAGTAGAACTTCTCAGTCGTTGCTGAGTCTAAGGAAACAGTACTCAATTTCCCGCACAGATTTTGGCTAGTAATGTGTTTGTCAAAGAAACAATAAGACAGCTTGTTGTGCACTCGTGCAAGGTCTTCTCTCTTAATAATGAATCGCATGAACGAGCCTTTTACCTGATTTATGACAAACGTTGTTTCAAAGCATCGTCTAAGATTTTCAAATATTTTTCTCTTTCTTTTCTTTTCTTTCTTTCTAGACGTAGTCTTACTCGACAAGTAATATGGGTTTCTTGCGTACATACATGCACTCGTTTTTCTCGTTCTGTATGTAGTTTGCAGCACCAATCATTTCTTCTCACGGACGTCGCTTTCTTTTTTTGTCTTTCTACTACTGACAACAACGCGCGCCCCAAAGAACTACTTTCCTAGCATAACAGTCATCCCGTTGTTTTTTCTTTAAATATTCTTTTATCCGCGACACTAAAATATTATTTATTTCATAAAAAAAAACCGAAGAAAAAAAAAACTATGTCTAAACAATATGTAAGTAAGACTTATTGCAGTGTCACTCGTTTTATCGGTAAGAAAATGATAAAGATAAAATAATAAAGTATACTAGTCAAAACACGCTACCACGATGTTTTGGTTTGATGAAAACATTTATTGCGAACGCTAAAAATAGTCGTTTTTTTCGTTGAACATGTCACATGATTTGATCAGAAATTCCATTCCTGTTGATTATAGATTTTTTTCAGTGAACAATGCGTTTACGATAGGAAATTAAATGCATAGACTAATGAATGAAGGTAAACGAAGTTGGTTTTCTCTTTTGTATCCATTTTGAATTTTCTTTTAGTAATAAACGAAGAAAATAACAGTGCACCCACAGCAGATCCGGAGTCATCGACAACTGCTGTTAAAAAACGAAAAATCCGCCGTGTCAAATCTATAACCAGATTAGCAGTTGACAAAATAACGGAAGAAGATAGACAGAAGCAAAATGTTCGAAAATCTTCAACACATACATCTATCGATAAACGACCGTTTCCCTTCGGCCTTTGGTAAACTTAATTCTAACATCGTCTGCTTAATTAAGTTATTGTTTTAGTCGAGTTTGTACCGATAAAGCAACTGGTGCTCATTACGGCGTACCGACATGTGAAGGATGCAAGGTAAACTATTAATTGATCATTGAAGGTATATTCTAGTTCCTTGACTTGAGTGACACCAACATATAACGTGTTTCCAGCGGCCAAATTGTGATGATATTTTGTCCTACGTTTAGCATACGTTGACGTAGATCGGACAAATGTGTAATTTTTTGCTTTTAGGGATTTTTCAAACGAAGTATTTTACGAAAAGAGAAATATCGATGCTATTTCGGCGATAAATGTATAATCAATACTGACAATCGAAACCGATGTAAATCGTGTCGTTTTCAAAAATGCTTGAAGGAAGGCATGTCTGTCGAAGGTATGTTATATGAATTTCGTAGTTTTAAATAAAATATCTTTTGATTTTCTTTTCAAGGCGTTCGAATGGGTCGCATACCAAAGTCTGTGAAAGAAAAGGCCTTGGCGGAACATACCACATCGAGCGTTGAAAACGAAGATCCAGCTCAATCATCTCCGTCCCACATTCCATCGATGACTTCGACTTCATTCAATCATTTGTCAGCATCTTCAATCGTCGATCTACCAATACCATTGATTGATGAACATTTGCTCTTTGCAGACTTAGACATAGCACCTATTGATAATCAACTCAACTGTCACACATCACTGCCAGGCACATCGCTCACTCAATCGTCTTGTTATCGTTATGAATTACCAGACAATTTTACTATCGATGAAACAAAACAAGAAGATCTCGAAGATGATAATGGAATCGTTCGATTGAATCCAACCGCATTGACAAATTACATGACGAATTGTGAAGAACGTTTTGCTAACAATGTTATCGAACGAATGAAAAATATCGCTATTAAAATATCACATCCGACAACATGTACAGAACTCGATTACGAAGAATCATCATTCATACGACATCTCCGATGGAAGATGTTTGATTTAAGTAACACATATAATGGACGAACACGACAATTGATCGAACGAATGAACAGTATGATTCATTTACGAGTAAGTCTCATAAAAACTCCACGATTTCATATTCCTATTCGAAATTTAGATCGATGATTATCCAGGCAAATCATCATCATTACAAGATATTTGGGCAGGATTGACCGGTAAGATTATAAAAACACAATTTGGAAACTTATTTGTGGAACTTTCTTTCTATTTAGATGCAATACCATTTCATGTGAAAAATCTCATTACTTTTGCACGAGAAGTAAATGAATAGGGTTTTGTTTTACTTTTTTTCCCTTCACTAATAGTGATCGAAAGAAACAACTCCAGAAACAGAAAATTCATAATGAGACATGAGGCAGATATAAAATTAATTACTGCTAAGTTCATTCTTTGGGCTGTTTCGACGACATAGAATAATATGAAAGAAAAAAAAGACTTGTTAAACTGGTAATAAACTTTTTATTAAGATGCCTGCAGTCAATGAAATTGATGTGGATGATTTCCATAAAATAATGAACAATCGTTTGTTTGATTTCTGGCTTGTGAGTTTAATTATTACTGCTTCCGTCGCTCTTCATGTTCGTCGGTTAAATTTAGATCAAACATGCTCCGCTAATATGTCACAACGAATCGTACATGATGTTGCCCAATGGTCTTCAGTACACACGTGAATGGATGAACAAGATTATTGGCGAAGAAATGGTTCAAACCATGTTTCAATTTGCAAACAGTTATAATCAATTACATTTAACTCATGAAGAGCATGCACTTGTATTTCCGGTTGTGATTTGTGTCAAAGGTAAGCACATCTACAGATACAATGATAAGATCTCATCTCTATTCGTATTCTTCAGATGAATCACTCCAGGATCAGGAAACGACTCGTTCGATTCAGTTTTGTTATCTATACGCGTTATATATTCAAATGTTAACCACACGCACACCAACACAAGCTAAAGCGCTATTTCAGAATCTTCTTCAGGTAAAAAGCAAAAAAATGGTATACTCAGTTGAGAAATTCTCTCATCGTCATTAGATATTTGCATACCTACCGTTGTTGAATGAATTACAAGAGAAAAAAGTTGGTTCGCTAGTACCTCCAAGTAAGTTTTGGATGTCTGAATCTTTGTGAAACTATTCATTTTTATTAACATGTCTCACAACGCTTTTTCTCGCACATAGTCAATTCTAATCACCGGAATTTCAGCACGCTTCGTCGTTTTCTGCACGATGTTCTTTTACTAGAATATTATGGTAGTTTCTTTTTGTGTGGCGCTTTTTTTCTATTTTGGAAGATCAGCTCATTTTTTCTGATTCGTGTGATATTTAACATCAATTTACCAGTCGATTTGAACTAACAAATTTTCTTCTTTTCATTCTAGGTGGTGACGAATCATAATGAAGAATAATATCCCTTTACTGATTTTTTTTATATTGCTCAATGTTGTAGTCTGACATTGTTGTATTTTTCTCTGTCCTTTTTGTATCTGTTTGTGAGTGTGAATATGTATTTTAAAAAAGATGAAGGAAGAAAGAGAAAGTAACCGACAGAGAAAACAACCTTGATGAAATAAAGAAAAAAAAAGTGACACCAGTTGTTTCATCCATTTCCAATGACAAGGAAATCAATCGTGGAAGGCAAGTAAGTATCAAAGACATATTGCGAGTTAAAAATAAGTTATGAAATCTTTTTCGATCGTT